GTATGTGCTATGATGAGCGCTGTGAATTGTGTAAGACTGATGAATCACAGACCTGTACCTCTGAAACAAATAATACATTATATGTTTAAAAAAAAAGAAGATAGTAGGAAGGGAAAAATGAAGGGGGAGAAATCGGAGGGGGAGACAAACCATGAGAGACTATGGACTCTGAGAAACAAACCGAAGGTTTTAGAGGGGAGGGGGTTGGGGGGATGGGTGAGCCCAGTGATGGGTATTAAGGGGACATGTACTGCATGGAGCACTGGGTGTTATACGCAAACAATGAGTCATGGAACACTACATCAAAAACGAATGATGTAACGTATGGTGACTAATATAACAATAAAATTAAAAAAATAAAATAAAAGAAGCACAATCTAGTGCAATTTACCTCAACTATTACAATGTTTTTATGAGTCTGGGTTTATAAAATTTTTCCAGGATGATTAACATGTTAATAGGTCCAACTAGACAGTTATTATATTGCCATAGGTATATTAGAATCTTGTTTATATTTCTATAATTTTATTGCCTTAAAATCAAATTGTTTTGTATAGTTATTATATCTATGGGAAAGTTATAATATGGTATAGCTTCCCAAGTACATATTTTTACAATTATGGAATTTCTTTGCAAGGCCTACCACCAGTGGCCACTGTTACAGAAAATTAATTAGTAGGCCAAACTCACACTCAAATTCAAAGATGATTGTATTTTCAAGTAGAAACGTGACCTTAATGTTTTTGATTAATTAAAAATCAATGAATTTCTAATGAGATTATCAATTCACATTGCTATACTTTGGATAAGATTTTTTTCCCCTCTCAAAGCATATGCTATATGCTCTGAGGAGAAGATCAGTGGAATTGATTAGGTTAAGGAACAAACCAGGCCAGTGAAATGTTTGTCTATCAAGTTTCCAAGTGTCCATCTCTATCAGTTTTTCTTTTTACATAGAAAAGTAATGGGGCAGGATTGATAGAAAACTGCATTTTACCTGAGCAAAAAACAAGATAAATACCAATACTTTGGCACCAGGATGTGTATAAATAAAAATGGCTCAAGTCTTCAGTTGTGTCTTCCACCAGCTTTTGAAAAGCTGTACCCTGGCATTGTTGGCGCCACATTAACTAGCAGACAAGTAGGAGATGGCCAAAAATTATGCAGTTTTGAGGGATTAAAAAAAAAATCTATGCAGCATAAAATAAATTTGGGGTTTTGCCATATAATGCTAAAACAAAAAATCTTTGCAAACTTTCTCAAATTGAAACTATTCTACAATATTCCTTCAACAAGTGTTAACTGGACAGTATAAGTGGAATTGCCTTTAGGAGCTAAGGCTACAAAGGCGTCAAAATGCTTCCAGCCAAGTTTAGCCAAGTAGTGGAAGCAGGCGACGTAAATCACAGCGGTGAGCCCCAGAGGACAGGACGATTGAAGAGTTTTAGGGCTCACCGGGATTCGCTCTCACCAGACCCTCCCTAGCACTGATTCCTTAGGTTCGCTGAAAAAAATAAAAAAGGACTAATTTCGGGAAACACAGCGCAAACAACCACATCCCTAAACCAAACTGTTTAAGTCTGACAATAAGGCAGAAAACGTTATTTCAAGACTTCCTCGGAGATCCGTAAGAGACCCTTAAGGTACGAGGTGGTAAGAGCCTCCTACCGCAGGGCCGAGGCCACGCCCCCGAAGAAAAAGGCCCGCCCCTCGATCCCAGAAGGCCGTCGGGCGACCAGTACGCCTGCGCGGATTGCCTTACATCCGGCGCCAGGGCACTCGATTCCGGAAGGGACTGCAGAGTTGTGGCGGCGGTTTCTGTGTTGCTGACTAGCGTTTCTTGTCTCCTGGAGCGGCGCGTTACACGGCAGCATCATGGTGGAGGTAAAGTGGCACTTGAGCGCTGAGGGGTCGTTCGTATCTGGAATGTTTTTGGCGGCTGGCGTGGGGGAACGAGGGTGTTTGGAGTTTGGGGAAGGTAGAGGCTTGCGAGGGGAGGCTCTCTGGCAGAGGCCGGTAGTCTCTTTTAAGGTTTTCAGGGATAGAGGGAGGCCGGATGGGAGCACTCGCTGGAGGTTACCCCCGGGGGCGAGAAGCCTGAGAGAATTTCTACAGTTCTTATTTGACTCTTGAGCTCGGCAGTGCCCCCGGAGGCAGGGCTTCTGGACCCCTGGAATTCACCGTCTGCAGAGTAGTGTCAGTGGTTGTGTGTTCTAAAAGACTGGCAGTCCTCTCTGGTGTTAACTTTGTGCCTTCCTTCAGCTCTTCCTCAGGAAAACCTGCCATTTTGAAGTTTTGCATCAGCTGTTCTGTTAGCCAGCCTTGTCCGTCTTATCTCAGAAATATTTCTTGATTCTTGTCCATATCCACTGTCTTCACCTTAATTCAGACCAACATCATCTTTCCTCCGGGCAAGTGCATTTGCTCCCTTGCCGGTGTTCTTGCTTCCATTTTTGTTTTCACTCCCCCTCCCCGCCCCCGTAAGTTGATCTGTTTAAAAATGTAGGTTGTTCATTTTTTTTCTGCTTAAAATCCTTTATTGGCCCGATTTTTTAGAGCAAAAGGATAGACTAGTGCAGTGATCTAAAAAAAAAAAAAAATCCTTAACTTGGTCTGAACTTTTGTCTACCCTTGGAACCTCATCTCAGCATCACAGTCCACCTTCCTACGGAACATACACAGTTCTTTTGCAGCTCCCGCCATCACTGCAGCTACCAAACTCCTGTGTACATGGCATTTTCTCTCTGCCCGGATTGTTCTTACCTCTATTCTGCACAAGGCTAACTCTCTGCTTAACTAACACCTCAGAAAGATCTTTCATAACTATCTTAAGTTTTTTCTCTGCCCCAGCCCCTTGCTTGTTTCCTTCATAGCGCTTATCAAAATGTGTTGCTTATTTTTGTTTTCTCTTGAGAACTGGGACCATGGCTGCCTTTTCATCATTCTTTTGTTAGCTTCTAACACAGTACCTGCCAGACATATGGTAGGAGCTCAGTAAATATTTGTTGAATAAATGACTAAGCTCAGGCATCACTAATTGGTATACCTGGGGCTCTGGCCAAAGAGGAGTTTCCTCTTCTCTGAACTTGACTCCTATAGTTTGCTACAAATAGCTATGGTGAGTGGTACAAAGCTTTTTACATATTTAAACATGTAAAGTGTATAACTAATTTGACTTTAATTTAGGTTATGGTATGTGTAATTTGTAGCTAGGTATGTGATTATATTCTTTCTTTCTAGGAGGTACAGAAACATTCTGTGCACACACTTGTGTTCAGGTCATTGAAGAGAACCCATGACATGTTTGTAGCTGATAATGGAAAACCTGTGCCTTTGGATGAAGAGAGGTAGGTATTGTTCCTTTTCAGTTGCTAGATAATTTAGGCTTCTAATGTTGGGGGAAGAGAGCAGGGAGAGGGGGACCTTTAAAGATCAGTGAGTGGTACTAACATAGGATATCTGTTCAGTAATGAATGGTGTTTGGGCATGATTTAAGCTGATTTAACTTTTTTTTGGCCTTGTCTTTCACAGTAAAAAACCCATTAATTAATTGCATTTATAAATACCCAGTAATTAGGAGAGTCCCTTTTAGGTGTTATATTTTATAATCAATCACTTTGTATGTGCTTTCAGCTTCCCGCTGCTCTCAGAGCCTTGCTGAGCTGAAATTGTACCTGGCCAGTACCTCTACTCCCATCTTTTCTCGTTAGTATGATGAAGATTTTTGAGTGGTGGCATATTTTTGGTTCTACATCTCCAGCTCCAGTCTGGGATTGCATTATGTGCAGTGTTCCTTCTTTGTCCTTTACCCTTTTAAAATCTACTTAATTCCTAAGACAAGCGTTTATATTTAATTTATAAAGTGGGCTGTTCTTAAAATTAATAAGTGCATTTCTTTTAAAAATACTGGACTAATTAAGTACTTTGGTTAGTTCTAATTAATCTTTTTAGACACATCCAGTAAGGGTTATGGTAGAAGCTTTTACTATACTTTTATATTTACACATTTGAAGGAAAGTATATTGACTTTGAGGTTTTTAAAAGGATATATTAGTTTCTATATATTTTTAAATCAGACCCTGGATAATTTATCATGAAAGGTTTTGTATTTATTGGTTAACAAACTAAAATGTTACTTAGACTTAATGGATGCTATGTGGTGGATTGTGAACAAAAGTGTGGAAATGCACTTGGAAGTTTCGAGCTTTTTAAAATACTATTTAACTTTAAAAACTTCATAGAATTTTTTCTACATGATTAGGCAAACCTAAGCTTTTTAAGTACTTGTGTTTCTTGGCTATCTATGAATATATTTCCATTGGCTAATATATTTAAAGCACTCAAGGACACATTCTTATGTTCATAATTTTTAAATAGTCACAAACGGAAAATGGCAATCAAGCTGCGTAATGAGTATGGTCCTGTGTTGCATATGCCTACTTCAAAAGAAAATTTTAAAGAGAAATGTCCTCAGAATGCATCGGATTCATATGGTCATAAACAGTATCCTGCCAATCAAGGTGAGTATGTGTTATCAGAAATGTCAGGACTTTAATATTTTAAAAATGGAAAAATGAAATGTTTTAGTGCCTGTCCCAAAAGGACTGATTAGAGCCGTAACCTATTGAACAACTATACCGGTATTATAGCAGAAGTGTTGATTTTCTCATTGGAGTGTGAGTTGAGATTATTGGTTGGTGGATTTTTTCTTAGAGGAAATAAAAAAAAAGTGGTAGAATAATAATGGCAGAAATTCTTAGGATATAGAGAAGGTCACAGTGGAGACTAAAGGAAAAATTTCTAATCCATGGAAAGACCATCTATTTTGACTACCATTCAGAAAAGTGATATTAAGCACTGACATTGCAGTGAATAAAGATAATCTTAAGATTCCACAGAGAAATCATTTGCTTGGAAGAAAAACCAGAGAGTGGGTTGTTACTTGATAGGATGATCTCTGTACACACCATTACAATTATACAGCTTTCTTGACATCATATTAGTAAATGGTCAAGGAAACAGCTGTGTACATGGTCCTCAGAAGTCAAAACAAAAATCAATATATCTTGGTTCTGAGGTTTGGGTTTAGTTGGGAAAATTTGGGAAATTCAGTTGGTAATTTAATATTCATTAAAAGAGATTTATATATATATATATATATATATATGATAAATTTGCCATTGATGATGATTCCTCTTCCTTTTTTAAGGACAAGAAGTTGAGTATTTGGTGACAGGTACACATCCATATCCACCAGGACCTGGTAAGTGAGCTATTACATACTGAAAATATCTTACAGACATTTCCATGAATGAACCAATAATATGATTCTAATTGCCTGTAAAATGCAAGACAAGCTCAGTAGCCAGGCATCCAGGCATAGCTTTTTAGATGGTAGTTAATTAATACTCAGTTTCATACGCATTCATTCAGCAAACATTCTTAAGCACCTACATTTTTTCAGGTGTTATGCTAGGAATTCAGACTTAGTAAGAGTGCTCCAGGCTAAACCATGCTTATATGGAGGTTTAAACAGACATGTTATTATCACTAAACTTATAAAAGTGATAGAAGTGTTAGTATAGAAGCAGGTATGATAGAAATGTCTACTAGATGTCTGTGTGTATAGACAGTTGGCACATAAATGGAGTGGCTAGTATAATGGGGTGGAGGACAAAAAGCTTAGTATATCTAGGTTCTAGTAATTTTAGAAGATAGGATTTACCATGTTGAAAGTACAGGTAAATTGGTGCCTCTTGCTTAGTAATTTACATTCATTCTTGAAAACATTTGGGAACTGCTTATGGTAATGTTCCAAGATAATAGAAATTTAACTTTATTATCTTGGGTATGTTAATACCAAGCTACTTGTGATTAAGTCAAATTTGAGTTATGTGGTTTTAAGTTATATTTATTATAAAAAAGTTAGAAATAAAAGACAAAACATAAGAGAAATTTTTGTAATATTACCACCTGGAGATAATCACATGTTTTCTTCCAGTATTTTATTTTAAACCCATGTAAATGAAATCAAAGATAGCTACTAGAAGGAATTGATTTATTTATTTTTTTAAACAGGGGTTGCTTTGACAGCAGATACTAAGATCCAAAGAATGCCAAGTGAATCAGCCGCACAATCCTTAGCTGTGGCATTACCTTCTTCTCAGACCAGGTATAATTACAGAGATTTTGAAAGCATAATTGATTGTTTACATTTTTTTCTCATTTTTAAGATTTCTTTATAATTATGTGTTATGTGACATTTTCCTTTATCATTGCTTACAAAAATTTAAAGAGTTGGTTCTGCACAACACATGACTGGAGACAATTAATTACTTAGAATGTGATACTTCCTTTGCCTTAGGGTTGATGCAAATCGTAGTGCACCTACTGGAGGTGAATACCGACATCCAGGGGCTTCTGACCGTTCACAGCCTGCAGGGATGACTTCAGTAAGTTTCTCTGTGTCCGTTCGCGCTGCAGGTTTCCATCTTTTGGAGCTCGTTGCCTTATTTCCCTTTATTCCAAGAGTCTGAGGTTAAATGTTAAATAAATGAAAAATCTCCTTGCTTGTCGTTTAAGTAAATAGCAGCTGACTGAGCCAGTTAATATTTTATAGCCCTAAAATTTAAGTTGCTAGTGATTTTGCATATTTTTTAGAATTTAAAATTCTAAATTCTGTGTCTCTTGCACATTGTTATCTAATATGTATTTTGATATAGGTAGTGTGATGTTTTATTGTCCACTATTAAAAATACACGGAATGCTGTTGTGAAACTTCTATTAGTATGTGTTAGATATGAAAATCTCTTTTTTTAAACTCTAAGTTGGTTTACACAGTTTGAGTTGAGTACTGTTAGTAATGTAATATTCATAGGCTGTAGAAGTAGTATCTTATAAATGAACATTTAGAAATATGGAAGTTTATCTATTTGTAAGTAAATGGCAGCTAATGTTACTGGTGAAAGTAATTACAAAAAGAATAACTGAAAATATCTAGTTTATTTTATCATGCTGTCACGAGTAACTGCAGGCTAAATGAATGAATTTGTGGTCTTCCCACCACATTTCTTCTTTTGCCTCCATTCATAGATCTCTGCCCAGGCTTTCTGTCTCCTAAGGAGGAGGTAATATAAGCTTCTTGATGGTAGGAACTTACAGACTTAAGTATTTTTGGGGTGAATGGATGGATGCTCACCATAGTAGATGGTATATCAGCTGGAATACCTTTTAAAATATTACTTAAACTTCTCCAAAGGCAAGGGAAACAGGCAAAAATGAGCTATTGGGATTTCATCAAGGTAAAAAGGGTTTTCACAGCAAAGGAAACAGTTGACAAAACCAAAAAGACAATCTACAGAATGGGAGAAGATATTTATGGAAGTTTTATCAGATAAAGGGCTAGTATCCAAAATCTATAAAGAACTTATCAAATCAACACCCAAAAAATAAATAATCCAGTCAAGAAATGGGCAGAAGACATGAATGGACATTTCTCCAAAGAAGACATACAGGTGGCCAATGAGCATATGAAAAAATTCTCAACATCACTCGGCATCAGGGAAATGCAAATCAAAACTACAATGAGATACAACTTCACACCAGTCAGAATGGCTAAAATTAAAAAGTCAGGCAGGAAACAACAGATGTTGGCAAGGATGTAGAGAAAGGGGAACCCTCTTACACTGTTGGTGAGAATGCAAGCTGAAAAACAGTATGGACGTTCCTCAAAAAGTTAAAAATAGAGCTGCTCTATGACCCAGCAATTGCACTACTAGGTATATACCTGAAAGATACAAATGTAGTGATCCGAAGGGGCACCTGCACCCCCGTGTTTATAGCAGCAATGTCCACAATAGCCAAACTATGCAAAGAGCCCAGATGTCCATCAACAGATGAATGGATAAAGAAAAGTGGTATAAATACAATAGAATATTACTCAGCCATCAAAAAAATGATATCTTGCCATTTGCAATGACGTGGATAGAACTAGAGCGTATCATGCTGAGCGAAATAAGTCAGAGAAAGACAGTAATCCTCTGATTTCACTCATATGTGGAATTCAAGAAATAAGAGAGAGGAGCATAGAGGAAGGGAGGGAAAAATAAAACAAAATGCAATCAGAGGGAGGCAAACCATAACAGGAAACAAACTGAGGGTTGCGGGAGGGGGGTGGGGGGATTGGGTAACTGGGTGATGGGCATTAAGGAGGGCACGTGATGTAATGAGCACTGGGTGTTATATAAGACTGATGAATCACTGAACTCTACCTCTGAAACAAACTATATATTAATTAATTGAATTTAAATTTAAAAAATAAAATATTAAATATTTTTTGGAAGAAAGTTTCTCTTTTTGCTATTAAGTCGATAATGTTAAAATACAACAATGAAAGTCAATGACATTAATCCACTTACAATTACTCAAATAATAATAGGAGCTTACATTGAGCATTTACAGAGTAGTAACACTATTTTCACAGTAACTGTCTGAGGTAGGCACTGTTCTTTCCATTTTACAAAGCAGGCATAGAGGTTATATAATTTTTACCTAAAGCCAGTTAGCTAGTAATTAGCAGAGCAGCGTTCATGAACCCACGCACAGTGATATGTGCTCTTAACTCTAATGTTCTGCCTCTGAGATTTTTTTAATTGATTTTTAAAATTAAAATTAACATACGGAAAATACAGTTCTGACTAGAAGTCTCAGTTATGACATCATTTTCTATTTATGCAACTATTTTGGCTTTTCCTCTTCAATTAAGGAAAAACTTACAAATCTCCTTTCTGAATTTTTCTTTTTTGAATGAACATGACATGTTAGGTATGATGTCTTTAATGATAATGTAATCTGTTCTCTATCTAGGCTGTTATGGAGGCTGGCAATGCCAAGAACTCTGCACTGATGGCTAAAAAAGCCCCTACGATGCCAAAACCCCAGTGGCACCCACCATGGAAACTCTACAGGGTGAGTGAATCTGTATATTATTCCACTGCAGGAATGATGATTGCTTTCCACTTACCGAGAGCTCAGGAATAGAATAAGGAAAAAAGGAGTGAATATGAGAACTGATCTGAGATGGGATGGGGGAAGGGTTTTAGGCACAATCTTAAAAGACATCTTAGGAAGGAGACAAGTAAAAACCATGTGCATATATGCATGTGTGTGTGTGTGTGTATATATATATATATACATATATGTATATATATATTATATACATATATATACTATTATACCATATTATAGTATACTACCATACTACATATATATATATATACTATAGGATACAGTATAAAACGTTGACAGAAAGCTATTAAAACGTGGAGAACGGATGAAATAAATTTTCTCTAAGTGTTTGAAGTACTTAATATGAAGGCCAGGAGGAAGAACAACATGTAACGATATTTTTTTGGCGCTATTATCTTTTTAATTGTATTAAATTAAAATAATTCAAAATGTACCAGATCTAAAATGAAATGTATATGGTAGGGAAACCATAGCTACATGTATGTTGAATTTTAGTTCTCTAGTTATACACTAAAATAGACTTTCTTTTGGTGTACAGACCTAATAAGTTTTAATAGATGTATAACTTTGGGTAGTCACTGCCACTATCAGTATATAGAAGTTGCATCAACTCAAAAAGCACTCCTGTGCTATTATTTTATAGTCATACCTTTCCGTACCCCTGGCAACTGTTCATCTGTTATCCATACTATAGTTGTGTTTTTTTCAATTTTGTTATATAATGGGATTACACAGTATGTACCTTTTGAGACTGACTTCCTTCAGCTTAATGCCTTTGAGAATCCTCCAGGTTGTTGCATGTATTAATATATTCCTCTTTATTGCTGAGTAGTATTCCATTGTATAGCTATGTCATAGTTTGTGTGTATCTATTTACTGATTGAAGGTAGTATTTGTAATTCTAAAATCTAATTGTCAAATACTTTTATAAATGTATTTGAAGATATGAGGAGGATAAACTTGACTTCTGTGTCATAAATTGAAATTGAATAAACTCTAACTTATATGTAATGAGTCTGCCCATTCTTCCTTTTGTTTTATACAGGTGATCAGTGGGCATCTTGGCTGGGTTCGCTGTATTGCCGTAGAACCTGGAAATCAGTGGTTTGTAACTGGATCTGCTGACAGAACTATAAAGGTAATAGGAAGGAGGAAGAAAAAAAAATTACGACTTTTTATTTGCTACTTAAATTTAATCTTATTTTCCTAGGTGGGAGTTGCTGTTGGAGTTCCTCTGATTTCTTAGACCTGAGTATGGAGTAAAACTTCCTATCTTTATCAGTTCGTTGTTCCAAATAAATATGTTTGGAAAGTGGTATTTAAATAACAGGTTTTTCCAAATAGTACATATTGACTACCTACCACTGATTCCTTGATATTTAAGTTTTTTTCTCCTCTGATTGCAGAATTCAAGCATGCTTATATATAAAAAATGTGGAAAATACAGAAAAGTATAAAAGAACACAAACCCATACATAATCCAACACTCAGATAATTTGAACGAATTTCTTTTTAGTATTTATTTCTGTGCATATGTGTCATTACATTTCCGTCTGAGCTTTTTTCCTGTGTGTATAAATGTGTATCTTCAAAAAAATCATGATGGGGCTCCTGGGTGACTCAATCAGCTAAGCAACCGACTCTTGGTTTCAGCTTAGGTCCTGATCTCAGGCTCCTTACTCAGCACGAATCTGCTTGAGACTCTCTCCTCCCTTTGCTCCACCCACCCCTCCCCTGTACGCACACACTCTCTCTCAAATATTAAAAAAATACATAAATAAAAAATCATGATTGATATGTAATTTTGTACTCTGCTTTTTTTCCACTTAATATATCAGAGGCATATTGTTGTGAAAAAATGAACTTTTTATAAATGGTTTCATGATATATCATTTAGATATTCTGTAATCTTCCTATTGTTAGACATCGAAGTTTTCAGTTTCTTGATTTTCACTATCACAGTGCTGTAATTTTGTGCCTAAAGCTTTTTGCTGTATTTTAAATTATTTTGTTATGACAGATTCCCAGAAATGGAATTAATGGGTCAAACATTTTTGAAGTTGACACCCAAAGTACAAATTATTTTCCAAAATGGGTGAATTGATAATTTGCAGTGTATGAGAGGATCCTTTTCAACACACTGATTGTGTATCTTTAAAAATACCTACTAACGTGTTAAGCAGAAATGGTTATCTAATCTTTTAAAAACTGTCCATAAAATTTTCTAGTGGGGTTGAACTTTTTGATACCTAATAAAGCTGTTCTTAGGTTTTTTCAACCTGTATATATTTTTTATTGAGGTATAATTGGTATACAATATTAGTTTTAGGTGTACAACATAATACAATATTTGTATATGTTGTGAAATCACCACAACAAATCTAGTTAACATGTCACCATACGTAGTTACAGAATTTTTTTTCCTTGTAGTGAGAATTTTAAGATCTACTCTCAACAACTTTTAGATATGCAGTGCAGTATTACTAACTATAATTGCCATGCTGAACATTATATCCCCATGACTTACTTATTTTGTAACTGGAAGTTTGTACGCTTGACTCTTTACCCATTTCACCCACTCCCCACCCCCACCTCTGGCAACCATTGATCCTTTCTCTGTATCTGTGAGCTTGGGTTTTTTTTGTTTGTTTGTTTTTAGAGTTCACTTACCAGTGAAATCACATAGTATTTGTCTTTCTTGGTCTGACTTACTTCCCACAGCATAATGCACTTGAGGTTCACCCATATTGTTGTAAATGGCAAGATTCCATTCTTTTTCATGGCTGAATGATAGTCCATTGTGTGTGTATACATAGATATATATAGATACCACATTTTTTCTATCCATTCATCCTTTGATGGACATTTAGGTTGTTTCTGTAGGGTTTTGTTTTTTTGTTTTTTTCCTAAGTTGTTGCCATCCTTGCCTAAGTTAATATAGTATTCATACTTTATCTGTGATATCCTTTTATATGTTAAGATTTTGTCACTTATTGCAAATATTTTCCCAGTTTCAACGTGCTTTTTAATTCTGTTTTCCCCTGCTTAACAAGGGAGGAGATTGGTGGGAGATTATTTTGCAAATTTTAAAGTTTTATATGTTTATAACTTTCACTTTTTGAATATTTAATTTTAACATTAAGAATCTAAATATTTGCTTTGGGATAATTAAGAAGGAAAATTAAATATTCTTTGATTGCAGATCTGGGACTTGGCTAGTGGCAAATTAAAACTGTCATTAACTGGGCACATTAGTACAGTGCGTGGTGTGATAGTAAGCACGCGGAGCCCTTACCTGTTCTCCTGTGGAGAAGACAAACAAGTCAAATGCTGGGATCTTGAATATAATAAGGTAAGCTTGGAGTTAAGGGTTTAAAACATTATGAACCACCGTTTTCCTTTATAATGATAGAGATTTTGACTTTTCTGCTTTATTTTTAGGTTATAAGGCACTATCATGGACATCTAAGTGCAGTGTATGGTTTGGATTTGCACCCAACAATTGATGTGCTGGTAACCTGTAGTCGGGATTCAACTGCACGGGTAAATGGAATAGAACTTTGTGTTTCTTTGTAAATGTATTGCATCTTACACTCTGCATATTTGGTCATGGAGTCATTATGTTATTTGTTAGAGAATTCAAGATAGTTGCCTTGACCAGCAATAGCCCTGTCCTTCAGTTTCTTGACTCGTATGTTTTTCCACCTTCATTTTCAGTTCTCTGGCCTCATCATGTTTATTATTGGGAATGCCCTGCCTCTGAAATGGGACACTCACACGTTCCATTCCATCACTGCAACAGTTTCTGTTAGCTATTTCCTTCAGTAGTCTCATTATGCCCATTCTTATACTTTCAGCACCCTGATCTTTCAGGTTTTTTTTCCTGTTAGCTGCCTCCTATCTACATTCCCCATCTGGCTTACAGATCATTATCTTTCTTTGAAACGATTTTTCATTCTATTCAGGCACAGTTGTCTGGTAAATTCGCAGCTTTGAATTGGTGCAGTTACCTGCCTGAGATATGAATACCTGTTCTCTCTGACAGTATGTCCCTCGTGTTTTTATAGATTTGGGATGTGAGAACTAAAGCCAGTGTACATACATTATCCGGACATACAAATGCAGTTGCTACGGTGAGGTGTCAAGCTGCAGAACCACAGATTATTACTGGTATGATTGATACTTTCTAAGTTTACAGTGTATTTGATCAGAATGCATCATGATTTTACTACACTTTTCATATTCACTGGTGACTTTTGCTTTGTTGCAGAGGTACATTGTTTCTGTGCGTGTTTAAAATTTACTATGGTAATATTTCATTTTATTGTTTTTATCTCATACTCTTTATGTATCATAGAATATATCATACCCAATATCATGTAATGTCTGACTAGAAAATGGTGCTGTTAGATAGATTGAGACATTGTTTCATAGTATCAGAATTACTGTCTAGGAAACTGAAGCCAAAAGACAAAATACCCAGAGACCAATAACCTTTAGAGCTGGTTTGAGTCTTGTTTTGCTAATGTTAAGATTAATAATAGACCTTACGAGTAGAAAATAATTTCTTCATTTGATGCATTTTGTTAATTAAAAATCGTTTGTTTTTTTTCCTTCCCCTCCATGAGGGGTAATATCATGTATTTGCTGTATTTGTTAATTGCATTTGTTCTAGCTGTTCAGTTGACAGTGCTTCAAGCATTTACTGCATTTTTTTAGCATTAAATTTAAAACCAACCTAAAAGTTTGGAGCTGTAAAGTAATGAGCCAGGAGTTAGTATGACTTTTCATTTAGTATGTATGTGTCTATGGAAGACTGATTCATATATTTTTATGTTTGATTTTTGCATTATTTTTCCTGATCTGCATTTTGTGGATATGTGTTTTCATTATAGGAAGCCATGATACTACAATACGATTATGGGACTTGGTGGCTGGAAAAACAAGAGTCACATTAACAAATCACAAAAAATCAGTCAGGGCTGTGGTTTTACATCCAAGACAGTAAGTGTATTAATTAGCTTCTCTTTTTTCTTCCATTTTTAGAGTAAGTATGGAAATACTAACATTAGTGCTACTTTGGTAGTCGTTTAGCCATTGTCACTTCCAGGCCTGTGCCACTTACGAACGTGCATTTCTTTAATTTTTTTCCTATGTAGTATTTTGCTTCATGACCTATATAGGATGAGGAAAATTTTCCACAAGGTGAAAAATGATAGCAGATGAGACAATATGGCTAAGAGCTGCGTGTCAAAGTAGAGGCTAATAGAAGATGGATTTAGTGTTTGACAGAAATGTTATTGGATACTGAGATCTACATAGAATAGTTTCATTCTTAAAGAGGAAGTAGTATACATAGAAAAAAATAGTAGGAACCCTGAGCATTATAATTGGGGTGTCCATAGAAGTGGGGCATAAGATCACAACCTGTTAGTTAAATCACATCACCCTGACCCTTTACTGGTCACATTGATTTTTTTTTCTGTCCTCCCTCTCCCCCTTATCCATTATTTCCTTCTTCCTCCATTTTTCTGTCTTCCTCACTCCCTTTCTTCCTCTCGTTCACTTCCTTTTTTTTTTTTTTTAAGATTTTATTTATTTGACAGAGACAACAGCGAGAGAGAGAGCACAAGTAGGGGGAGTGGGAGAGGGAGAAGCAGGCTCCCCACTGAGCAGAGGGAGCCCCATGTGGGGCTCGATCCTAGGACCCTGGGACCATGACCCAAGCCGAAGGCAGACACTTAACGACTGAGCCACCCAGGCACCCCTCGTTAACTTCCTTTTTCTCTCTCTTCCTCTTGCCCTCTGTTTCTTTCCTTTTTTTCCTTTCTTCCTGTAGCCCCATCTCTCCCTCTCTTGCTCTGTTCAGAATAGTTTTAAAACCCCTTGTCCTTAATCTGAGTTTAGGGGTTTGTACATTTGTGGCTTTAGCTCAGTGGAGAGCATTGGGGAAATAAGAAACATTAATCTAGGACTTAAAATATATTTAAAATAATTTGAAGATCTGATTTGAGATTTGACTTGGAACAAATGTCTTTGTGTTTTTACCTCTTGGTACGACAATAATATTTTGCCACAACTCTGTAGATCCATAAGTACACATGTAGAATACAACCATAAAAAGCTTTTTTGAATTCACCATTTTATTTAACTTGGTTTACTTAATCACGAATTCTTTTTCATCTTATTTCAGTTATACATTTGCATCTGGCTCTCCAGATAATATAAAACAGTGGAAATTCCCTGATGGAAGTTTTATTCAAAATCTTTCTGGTCATAATGCTATTATTAACACATTGACAGTGAATTCTGATGGAGTGCTTGTTTCTGGAGGTAAAATAAGATTTTAATAATAAATGTGTTTTAGTCATTTTTTCTTTTTGTAAATGAGTAAACATTTGTAAAATTTCTAAGCCATCCCACCTAAGTATTACAGCACAACTTGCCTGATTAATGTGTATTTGGATGTTCCTATGTGTGTTCATGCGTGTTTGTAATACATGTAGCATATTTCATGGTTTAGTCTTCTTTGAGTTCCCACATGATAAATCTAATGTATTCATGCTGAGAATTACCTAAATTTTGGTTGTGTATTCCAGAACTAGATAGCATTTTGTGGTGCTTTTTGAGCTCTATAATAAATTCTGACTTAGGCACAAATGAAAGTAGACAAACCAATATTAAGAGAAGCTTGAGTGCCTGTGTCTTATAACTTTAGTCTTTATGGTCATGGTGCTTGACTCGTGGATGGTGCTTAAATGTTTGCCAAGCTGAATTGTTGAAAGGCTACCACGTTTAATTAGATTTTTTCCTTTAAGCTGACAATGGCACTATGCATCTTTGGGACTGGAGAACTGGCTACAATTTCCAGAGAGTTCATGCAGCTGTGCAGCCTGGATCTTTGGACAGTGAATCAGGAATATTTGCTTGTGCTTTTGATCAGTCTGAAAGTCGGTTACTAACAGCTGAAGCTGATAAAACCATTAAAGTGTATAAAGAGGATGATACAGCAGTAAGTTTTCTATTTCACATACATTTTGAAGTAAAATAAATCAACCATACCAATTTTGCAAGTGCTTTCTCATTTTAAAGTAATTCTTAATCTCAGGAAACAAACTGAGGGTTGCTGGAGTGGTGGGGGGTGGGAGGGATGGGGTGGCTGGGTGATAGACATTGGGGAGAGTATGTGCTGTGGTGAGCGCTGCGAATTGTGTAAGACTGAGGAATCACAGACCTGTACCTCTGAAACAAATAATACATTTTAAAAAAGAAGAAGATAGCAGGAAGGGAAAAATGAAGGGGGGGAAATCGGAGGGGGAGACAAACCATGAGAGACTATGGACTCTGAGAAACAAACTAAGGGTTCTAGAGGGGAGGGGAGGGGAGGGGGGGTTTAGTCCGGTGACGGGTATTAAAGAGGGCACACACTGAATGGAGCACTGGGTGTTATACGCAAACAATGAATCATGGAATACTACATCAAAAACTAATGATGTAATATATGGTGATTAACAACATAAAAAATTAAAAAAATTAGAAGGGAAAATAATCTTTATAGTATTTAAGTATTTGTCATCTCGAATGTCTGCTCATAGATTTCTGTATTGGTTTCATTGATGCCGGCGAATCCACAGACTGTTTTAATTTTATCCTTACTATAATTATTGGGAAAATCTTACATCAAGAATAACCACAAACAAATTCCTATGCAAATTAACTTTAAAATCATAAACTTTGGTATTACTAGGGTACCTAAATAGCAATTTTATTAGAGTTGAAAAACCATGAACTGAATTTGTAGTGAACCCATTCATCCTTTATTAGGTTCAGATGATGTCAAAAGTTTGTCAGCTATTCCTAAAATTGTTAAAGAACTGCTAAATATGTAATGCCAACCAATGTAATTTAGAACAGATGCCTTATTTTTGTTAGGAAGAGAGTTATTAATATAAAGCAAATTAATAATACTTTGTTTTAACTTCTCTAATTTTCTATTTCCAGACAGAAGAAACTCATCCAGTCAGCTGGAAGCCAGAAATTATCAAGAGAAAGAGATTTTAATATGGCATTATCTTCATGGTGGTTCCCCTTTTTTTTTTTTTTTTTTTAAAAAGCGTGGTGTTGATGAGGATATCCAGTCATTTTGTGCTCTGGCTGGGAATATAAAGCAGAAACTCACATGCTTAAATGATTCCTGCTTCATACTTTACAATAAACTGCCCCTCCGTGTTATTATTTCCAAAATAAATAGAGATCCTAGGAAGTAAGATGCAGATATCAAGCATATGTAGGTTTGTTGAACATGACTATTCTAAAGATAGAATTGACAGTTTTATTAAAAGACACCTTTTTAAAAAAAACTTACAAAACTGCTTACTATAATAAGGACTTGTTTCAAGGGGAGCAGTTGCATTTTTGGGGGGGGGGTTGTTTTTGTCTTAGTCCTTTAAGAACTAGTATCTGTGACTAATAATTGGGGATTAAAGGATTTGAAGTTTTACTTATATATGTTTATTCCACAGTTTTTGAGTGCATGTTCTATAAAGTTCTGCACTGGATACTGTTCAGGAGATAGCCAAGTAGAAGATGTATGTCCTCCAAGACCCTAGTAGCTTATTACAGAAATGCTGTAATAGAAATGAAGGCAAATAGCCAGAGTAGCACAGAGGAAAAGACCATCGCTTTTTTCCAGAGAGCACTGTGGAAGACTTCACAGAGTCTGGGGTATTTGAGCTGAGCCTTGAGAGGGCAGAGAGGGAAACTGGTATCGATACCTAGGATGAGGCATAACAGTGAATGAAACCAGACCTGTGAAACTGGGATGTGTTCTAGGGGCAAAGAATTGTCTGCTGCAGTTGAGTAATGAGTACAGCTGGTTGGTGGTGGAGAAAGCTCATTTGGAGTTTGGATTTATTCCCCAAGCAGTAGGATACCAATATAGGTATCAAAACCTGGAGGAATTAATGAGATACCAGTGGAGGTATTTGTAGCTGTGGCAAGCAAGGGCTGCAGCCTTTTTGAAGACTTTCTGGAAAAGTGTTATTTAAGTTGCTGATACCTATTCCTTGTGGTAAATACGAGTTTTCGAAACCCTGCTCTTAGGATCCTGATACCCCATCAGTCAACAAAATGTGTCCCCCTTCACTTTCTGTAGTTAGAAAACACAGTGACAAGAACAATTGATACAGATTTTTTTTTTCAAAATAAAAAAATTGCACCATAATTTTGAATAAGCATTTCCAAAGTATACCAGTATCCCATCTTGCATGCTGTAGGTGGGAGTATAAGTTTATAACCCTTAGGAGGGGGGTTTTTCAGAGTATATTGAAAATGCTCAAGCCATTTGGCTAATTCTTCATTAAAAAGATTAGGAAACTGCCTAATAGGAATAATCTGACAAGTGTACACAAGCAAGTTCACTGCACCTTTGTTCTTTAATTATTAAAACTGGCTCAAATGTCCTATCAATAAGGGATGGTTTAATAGATTATGGTACCTTCATGCAATTTATTTCTATCCATTAAGAGTGAGGAATGTCTGGACTAATAATAAGACGTCCAAACTTTACTCTTAGGTAAAAAAACAAGTTGTGGAAGCATTTTTTTGTAGAATAACTTGTTAATGCTATAAAAAAATAATGGAATAGTAATACCACATTGTTACCAGTGGCTTTGTGAGGGAATAAAATTGTGGGAGAACTTTCATGATTGGCTTTATATATTTCTATAATGTTTTAATTTTCTATAAGCATGTATTTTGTAAGCTTAAATAAAGAAATCCACTACACTTGCATCCCTGAGAGATTCTCATATACCTTCTAACAGGAGAAAAATAGAGGTGAATAGGGTCCCATCCCCAAAGGCCAACAAGAAATTATTGCTAGTATGAGGAGGTGAGAAAGATAGCTTTTTTTTATCCTGCCTAGCAAAGCTTCAGCTGTTGTTTGTTTGATACACAAGTATCAAATTCTGAGTAGCATTTAAGAAACCCATTTCCCTGCTTCATGCTGTTTTGTATTATGGTCTTCTTGGATTATCTTGCAAAAACTGTATCTACCACATGTTCATGAACCCCATGGAATTTTAGGCAGAATTTCATGCATGCACTCTTTTTTCTTTTTTTTAAACCTACTTGACAGAACCCCAACCCAAGACAAGCCCGAGTCTCCTACTGTGCCTGTCTTATGTATACCCAAGCTGTAGAATGTTACCAGAGGAAAACAGCTGTGCTAACTGGACTCATTTTTGATTTAATGACCACATACCTCAAATGGGCCATTAACAGTGACCGCATACACATTTTGGACAGTCCATGCCATCTGCCTCCTGTTGCAAAAAGATGAACTCTACCCACCTAAAAACAATTCCAAATGTACAGTGTCACTTAGACCTAATGTTCGCTTCTAAGTATGCACTTCTCTATTCCCTTTCATAGCCAAACTCCCTCAGTTTTCATAAATTCCTATGTTCCTCACTTCTGATTCTTTCAAGGGACTCTAGTCCAAAAATAGTCAAATGTGTTAAACATTGTTCTTAGAGAAATTGAAGAAATTTAAGTAGTATGAAGGAGTTGATAGGAAATAAATTAATGCAGTAAAAAAAATGAAGATACAGAGTAAGTAAGCTTGAATGGTGATTTTTTTTTTTTGTACAAAAACTAGATAAGCCAATTAAGAAACAAATACAAGAATCAATACCCTAACAAAAACAAAAGGGGGGGGAGACAATTATGTCCAATTCCATGCCATTATATTTAAAAAGCAAAATAATGTGGTTAATTTTAAAGAAAAATATATGGCAGATTCCAGAAGATACAGAAAACTTAAATAGGTTAAGTATCATAGATGAAATAATTCATAGAGGAATTAACCCCTACCTACTACCACCCGCACATATCACTTAAGTGCATTAAATTTCAAAGTGGAATTCTAATTTCAATGCACTATAAATTTTTATAGGATCCAGATAAAGCTTTTATATGTTTTAAAATGAGAGTATATAAAAATATCCAAGTCCAATGATGCACAAATGAAATAATTTCATCTTGCTTGTGAATATGGGTGGGAAAATTGGCAAAGAATCAAGCATCACTCATCTAAGTGAAGTTTAAAAGTGCAAGGAAGTTTCATTACTGGGAAGTAATATAATTCACCATATTGGTTTATATGAGGAGAAAAAGCATCTTCATAGATGGTAAAGGGGCATTTCAATATAATTTGAAATCCATGCTTCATTAAATAAAAACAAAACCTATTACCACAGGAACAGATGGATATTTTTAAAACGATTAAATACAACTACTCTACCCTACAATAAGTTGTTGATTGGGAAATACTAGGGATATTCCTATTAATGTCAGAAACAAGACAGGGGTGCGCACTTCAGTGTCTAGCTTTTTATTTTTTTATTTTATTTTTTTTAATTTTTTTTTTTAAGATTTTATTTGCGAGAGAGAGAATGAGAGACAGAGAGCATGAGAGGGAGGAGGGTCAGAGGGAGAAGCAGACTCCCTGCTGAGCAGGGAGCCTGATGTGGCACTCGATCCTGGGACTCCAGGATCATGACCTGAGCCGAAGGCAGTCGCTTAACCAACTGAGCCACCCAGGCGCCCAGTGTCTAGCTTTTTAAAGAAGACTTCTGGACTTTTCTAACTTTTCTGGAAGTCTTTTAGAAGATGTAGAGGTATAATAATTAGAAAGCAAGGAAATAACATCACTGTTGGCAGATAATTTGGTTATACATGTGGAAAATTTAAAAGAATTGAAAGACTATTAACAATAGTATATTCAGTAAGGGCTTGGTCCAGAACTGATACTCAGATATCAATAAGCAGTAGGATCTAAAAAAAAAACGTATAAAATGGCCAAAAGACTTGGAATAAAATTAAGAAGTGTGCAAGTCCTGTATGAAGAAACTTTCAAAATCCTCCTTTAGGAATAGAAAAGAAGCCTTGGTTAAATGAAAAGCATGTTACAGTCCTGGGTTAAAAACTTGATGGTGTCATTTCCCTTTAAAATCTATTAAATTAACTCAGTCCCAATAAAATTAACTATTGTTTGTTTTTTTTTTTTTTAGAACTGGACTAGCTGACTCTTAGTTCTTGTAGAAAATTATAAAAGCAGCAACACCCAAGATAATCCTGAAAGCAGAAAAAGGGAGGGAAGGAACTAATATGGTATGATCAATGGAATAGAGTAGGGTCCAGAATAGACCCAAATGCAAATGATAATTACGTGAATGATTAAGGTAGCCTAACATAAGATGCTCAGTTGTACTTAAACCCAAATTTAAAACTACAATAAAAGCTACAGTTTTCACCAATAAGAATGTGAAAGTTAAAAATAAAAAGTGGTAATATATGTAGAGGTGGTGTAGGAAATCGTTTTCTATTGCGCTGGTCCAGAAAATGCATTGGTGAGAACTTTGTAAGTATTAGCAATACTTGTTAAAATCATAAATTTTAACCCAGAAATTCTAATTCTAAGAATTTATGCCATCAATGTGCTTGTGTGTGTGAGAAGTGCGTATGCATTGTTCACAATAGAAAAATATTGAAAGACACATGATTACTGGACTTAACTTTAGGCTAAAGAAGAGAACTGGATCTGTTAAAGTCATAGTCTTATGTTAATGATGCCTTGCATATTTACGTTTTACACAGAGCTGTCTTGTCTGTGATTGCATATGATCCCTCAAGACTTTTGAGAAGTAAGCTGGACTAATATTCCCATTTTACAGTTATAGAATCAGCCTAGTGGGCTCAAAGCGTGATTAACAGGAGGAGCCAGTGTGAGAGCCCAGGGTTTGTTTTTGTTTTGTTTTAAATCTCTGTTCCATTTCTCTTGCTAGGAAATGACACTGTCTTATAATTTCTCATTAATTCCCAGAGGTGTTGACTTTCCATTGATTTAAAGGTCACTTTAGGGAAAGCAAATATTTATATTTCTCCTGAACTGACAGCATTCTTTGTTAGCCAAAAGTAGCATTGGTTCTAGCAATGGCCTCAGTCCATATACCTTTCCAGCTATTTGGTGCTTAACACATATATTCTTTATCTATGTATCTACCTATTCATCTACCATCCATTTTTCTATCCATCATCTGTCTAAATTTACTTTGAAGTCAAGGAAGTGCATATTTGTAGATAATATCTGTTACTTGGATTCTTATAAATTAGCAAAGTCTTTAAGGGTTTGGAGATCTGGGAGATTTTAGGAGGAGAGAAAATTACTGATTTGAGGATACTTGCGTATTTGTTGAACTTTTTTTTTTTTTTTAGTTCATACACACCTAATAGGTGTTGTAGAAGATACCAAAATTATGGTGTGTGGTATCTACTCTCCTAGCTGAATTATAATCAGGGAACAAAATATTAAATGTTTATATAAGGACTGAATAAGAATATAAGAGATTTCTTTCCACCAGAATCATAAAATGAAGTGTTAAATGGATGTTATATCCCACTAATGCTCCAGGAGGGGGAGTATAGTGTGTTGCAGAAGGGCAATTTTTGTGAAGGAACTCAGTCTTGGACTGTACTTTGAAGGATGGAGACTATTTAAGCAGTTGGACAAGTGGGGAATGGATAGATGAACCTGGGCTTATGTTGTCCCTAGATAAGCTGGACGGGAGTTAAATGTAGGCTTCTGCTACCTTTGGACTCTGGGAGATGAAAAAGGGGTTGACCTTTTAACAGGGTTGGCCTGGCACCTGAAACTGGAGAACGTAGTCTAGGGTATACTGAGAAATTCTTTGAGACTGCAGTTGGCTCAGACCCAGAAGCCGATCATTTTCATCTGGGCACATACAATAGACACAAACTTGATCAACTTGGTTTTTATTAGGTGGGCCTGGCTAGCTCAGTCAGAAGAGCATGTGACTCTTGATCTCGGGGTCATGAGTTTGAGCCCCACGCTGGGTGTAGAGATTACTTAAATAAATAAACTTTTAAAAAGTGGTTTCTGTTAACCTGGACAAAATAATTTTAATAAGACACCATTTATCATGAGAAGGTTTTGAAAAATAGATCCCCACCAAAAATGAGGACCAATCAGAGTTAAAAGAAGCATGAAAGTGCTGGGAGCTTCACCACACCTCTTACCTCAGGGATAGCAAAAGCTGTGGCAGCCATTCCCTGTAGTCTGTGGGGACTCACGTCTTGCCCACATATCCAGAGTCAAAGGCCAGACTATCACAGTGTCAGTGAAATCTTGAGCCCTATTGTAAAAGAAGCAAGGTGTGTGGAAACTTCAGATTATTTGGCTGTAAAGAAATAGGGGGGCACCTGGGTGGCTCAGTCGTTGAGCATCGCCCTTCAGCTCAGGTCATGATCCGAGTCCTGGGATCGAGCCCCGCCTCAGGCTCCCTGCTCAGCGGAAAGCCTGCTTCTCCCTCTCCCGCTCCCCCTGCTTATGTTCCTTCTCTGACTGTGTCTCTCTCTGTCAAATAAATAAATAAAATCTTAAAAAAAAAAAGAAATAGGAAAAAATAAGACTTTGACCTCGCATGATTCCACTTTCAGCAATGCAACAGTGGTTAAGTGATAGGCAGTATTTTATTGCAAATAAGATAAACAACATCATCATGCTAATTATATGCAGAAAGATCATTTGACAGAATTCAAGAAAAATGTCAGGCCAGACTTCTGCAAGAAAGAATGGGGGATATATGTCAATAATTTCTTGCAGAATAATTATTAGGAAAAGAAGCACTAAATCATTCTTCATGGTGGAGCATAGAGCCAGTCACAGGAATAATTAAAGTCAGAAATAATAAGAGGATGTCTGCACTCAT